CAGAAGGATTATTGCATAGAAGCCTAAAAGCATAATACATTTATGGAAGCTTGTGAAACAACATTAGGAAGAACTTCCCAAACAGTAATTGATTCCCATTGCAGAAGGAATGCCTCAAGCGTGTTCCGCTATTACATCTGCAAACGGTGGATACTTGAAGGAATCGTAAGGTCAGATAAATATTTTGCTCAATAAGACAATTCCATCATTTAATTTTTATCTGTAATTGTTTGCGCTTTATTTTAATTTACATCGAGAAAATATACATAAACTTATAAAAACTAGAAATATAGAGGGTGCTGTAAAACCTAACTGGTTTAGTATATCTTTCCACAAAAAACCCAGCAAAGCATGATTCAATTTGCTTCTGCAGGGAAAAAAAAAAAAAAAAAAAATTCCTTCCTGATCCCTCGAGACGCAATCGGATATTCCCTGGATCAACTTTACCTATAAATGTTAGTATCCAGTTATATTCTGTGTATCTAAGAAAGAATCCAGGCCTTTTTTAAAGCAACCCACTGAGCTGACCAGAACCAACTCTTGAGGGAGTCTATTCCACATTTTCACTGTAAAGAAACCTATGTTTGGAGATAAAATTTATTTTCCTCCAGACGTAGAGTGCCCCCTTGTCCTCACTGATTCTTCCAGTTATAGCCCCCTAGTATGTGTGATGCATGCATATTCATAGCCCACAAGTTCATAACCTGACATTTATCAACATTAAATCTCTTTTGCCATAGTTGCCCAATTAAACAGTGTATTGAGGTCAGCTTGTAAATTGGAGACATCCTGTAAGGACGCTATGCCACTGCACAGCTTGGTGTCATCTGCAAAAACTGAAATGGGATTTTTAATCCCAGACCCTATACTGTTTATAAATATATTAAAAAGTAAGGGTCCCAACACTGAACCTTGGGGTACACCACTGACAACCCTAGACCATGCAGAGTATGAATCATTAACTACTACTCTCTGAATATAATCTTTTAGCCAGTTTTTTTATCCATTTACATACAGATTTTTCCAAGGCCGTAGACTTTACCTAACACAATTAGCCGTGTGAGGGGAAACTGTCAACCACTTTTGCAAAATCCAAGTATACCTTGTCCATCATCACCCCTCTGTCCAAGGTTTTGCTTACCTACTCATAAAAAGAAATCAGATTTGTTTGACAAATTCTGTCTTTCATGAATCCATGCTGGCTGTTGCTTAAAATATTTTTTTCCCAGCAAGACCTCATCGATGTGGTATTTTATTGATCTCTCCAGTATCTTCCCAACTATAGAAGTTAAACAGGTCTATAATTACTTGGTAAAGATTTTGACTTTTTAAATATTGGCACCACATTGCCCTTATGCCAATCCAGTGGTACTATGCCAGTCATTAAAGAGTCCCTAAAAATTAGAGACTTGATGCATATATAGTTATGTTCCAGAATATAATCGACGCTTCGATTATGTGCAGTAATGCTCATTCGATTTTTTTTTCCCCAAACACTGCACTAACTTGTCAAAGTTTGTTCTGCTAAAAAAACTTCCTTTCTGTTCCTAAATTTTCGACGCTATTAAAATTGGATGTCGATGGCAGTACAACATACATGAAATTGAAAAATTGTCCCACCTTAGAAAAAACATCAAATTCTCTACCAGTGTGTACTGGGCTTTAGCCTTTATTTTATTTTCAGTTGCCCTGGTGCTGCACATGTGATCAGTTATGATGCAAGCCTTATGATGGCTTAATAGTTCGGTTGAGAGCACCAACTGTCGCAGTTATCATTCCTGCCTTCAATGTAACTTAAAACGGATGGGTTTAGCTTATTATTACAAAACTCCTTCAATTCCCTAAAAAAATTTTATGCGGAAATAAAGCAAAAAATGTAAAGATTAAGTAGGGTACACACTATAAGAAAGTCGCCTCATTTTCCTTGATGTTTCACAGCAAGTCAAATCTGAGGATTGTACTAATTGTAGGAAAATCTCCAAACAGCAAAGGCTTATGTTTGACGTAGAAATGTTTTAGTTTATTGTTTGTTATCATGTGCAGTCTTTTGTATCTGATTTTTCTCATACGAAAACAGTACACATTAAACGAAAACCATTAGTTCTGTTCACGTACAAGAAAAATTTTGGAGTTTGTTCCTTTGGAAAGTCTGAATTGGGTGTCAAAAATTGTGTACACACTATACAAAAATCGAGCGGTTGTTCTTCCGATTTTCTCATAGTGTATACCCCAGTATACAAACAGGCAGGCTTTTTATTGCAAAAGAGACAAGCAACGTCTTTTTCACAACTACCTGCTTGTTCACAGTCCTCTGTAGAATGTACACTAAGCTGCGCAGCTTATTTTACATTCCGGCACACTCACTGAGTGCTGGGTCAACTGCACTCTTGTGCATGTACAAGAGTGATGTCATCTTGTACGGGCCAATCAAGATGGCCGAAGACTGGCACCCGCAAGAATCCAAGGACAAGATGCTGATGAAGAACCGTTGTAATAAAAGGTATATGTGTCTTAACAGCTGATTTACACATCTGTGGTGCGGATTGAAGCTCAGGTTTGACAGCCGATTCACCCATCTGTGGTGCAGATCGAACCTCAGGTTTGACAGCGGATTCACACATATGTGGTGCGGATTGAAGCTCAGGTTTCACAGATAATTGACACAGTAGTTGTTCACGACAGATTTACATCGGGTTCAGGACAGAATTAGCTCACGATCTTATCCTGTTCACACATATGCGATTTAGGAACGGTTCCCATAGACGTCAATAGCTTGTAATCCGCACCTGAACCGGACCTCACTGCTCAGAAATCAGACATGACTCTTTAAAACTGCACTGAATCTGCACCAGCCATATGTGAACAGGCACCATAAGAAGAAATGGTGTTTTACGTCATGCAGATTGGATGCTGTTCAAACTGCATCCAATCCAAATTTATGTGAACGGGCACTCACAGCTAATTGATACAGCAGTAGTTCATGTCAGGTTTACATCAGGTTCAGGACAGGATTAGTTTGGGATTTTATCCTGTTCACACATGCGGTTTAGAAATGTCTTCCATATAAGTCAATAGCCTGTAATCCGCACCTGAACGCACTGCTCAGAAACTACGATTCTTTCAAACTGCACTGAATCTACGCCACCAGTACACTGGACATATATGAACATGCACTATAGGAATCTATGTTTTTTTTTTCACGTCGTGTGGATTGGATGCAGTTCAAACTACATATATATTAACCGACGCTTAGTTCTGCTTTAAAATAGCTGACATGGCTGATGAAGCTGGCATAAAAACTTGCAAACGTGGAGTCGTTCCAACAGCTGTGATCTCAACCAGCAAAATGTTTAACCAATACCCAACAGATGAAGTAGCCCCTATTCCAAGTGCTTCTACCAGCAACATTTAATTTGGCATAGCAATCCTTACGGATCACTGCGAATGGTCGGAGTGGGTACAATTCGTTAACAGTGGTTCAAACAAAAAAATCGGGACGGACTGCCAAGCCAAACCTGCACACACCACCAATGTAGCCCTGAAAGCTCTAATGTGCAGAGGAACAAAGAAAGCAAACATGAAATGCTGCTTTGTGTGCAACACAACCCTGGCTTTGTGTAAAATCCTACACAGGCTGGGACAATGAAGAGGAAGCCAGCCACCTTATCAAGGTTCAATGGAATCACAGTCAGATTGGAGAGCCGAGACTCCGAATACCAGTTAGTGCACACTGAGTGAACAGAACACCTCACGAGTGAACAGCCACCCACAAGCACTGAGGAGCTGCGCCACACATCACTCACTCCTCCTGAGGTAACCAGAAAAACAACTGCGCCAAACCCGGCGGCCGCCATGTTTCCTCTTCAGAAGACGTTGACATAAAGAGGATCAGAAAACAACCTATTCCGCCAAGCCCCTATCGCCGACTGACGGCAATACGATTCCATCTGTCTACAGCCCAGCTCGTCACACGCCCGCTGCCTTCACAAATAAGCGATTAACCCCGACCGCGCCGAGTTCACGCACACACACGGACCTCCATTTTCATCCTCCCCCAAACAAGACCCGCGTATTCTTTACCCCGCCCTGCACCTAGCCTCCCCCCTCCACCACCGATACACGTCACGTATGCAGACTGGCTGGGAGGGGGTCGCCGAGCGGCGCTGCCATGAGAGACGCATACTGAGGACTCGGGCTTTCTTCTAGAAGTGTAACGCCAAGCTTCTGTGAGGAAATCCCGCCAGCAGCCGCTGATTTTCCGACTCTCTCCCGGACGTCAGCGTTCATAGAGGCGTGTTCAGGGGGCGGCGGGCGGTGACCGGAGAGCTTGGCGCACTGCGGAAGGGGCGGAGAAGCCCGCCGGAAACGGGGTAGAGAGCCAGGGACTGCTTGAGAGAGGTTTGGTGATTGAGGTGGACGGCATTCCTATGGTGTTCAGGGCTCGTCCGTGTGAGGAGAAGCGGGAAGCGCACACATTGTGTTTGCCCGTGTGTGAGAACGTGCTCTCCTCTCAGAGGGCTCCATAACAGGCTGGACGTCTGTCTCCAACCATAAGAGTGGCTTGGTGAGGTCTACTAGGCATGACCCCCAACCTGTGGACATTAGGCTGGATGTAGACTGGAATTAGTCTTCCATTCAAAGGATTGGAAGGTCTACATTTTCATACAAGTGTAGATGGTAGGTTTAGCACACTCCTCATTTCAGCCTTGGAGGGTTTGTGACTGAGTACTAGGAAACGATGTGATCGATGTTCGATTTTTCTGTGCTTCCAGATACCATTGAACCTTGTTTGACCATCCAATTGATCCTCCTAAAGACTTGAAGATCGTAGATGAATCGATATTGGACGGTGGATGGAAGCTGAGCACTGAGCTTGTGAACTGGAGGCATGCTGCACCGGTCACACACTTGCTATTAAGATCAGCATTGAACGACACCTCGATTATTGGCTATAGGTTCATTTTTATGTTCAGCCTCCATAGGCACTGAGCAGTGAGATCATGGCATTCACAAACTATAGCAGTTTGAACCGAGCCCAGTTGACCTTCGAGTATCTGCACACGAATTCGTGAGTATTCTGATTGTCGACAATTTTTTTTTTTTTTGTGGTATGACCTTCTACATGTCTTCCAAATCTTACATGAGCATTGCATGAACAGTGCTTTCTTAAAACGGCAAACAAATCAGTTGATCTTGAAAACTATTTTTAAGAAACATGCCTACATGGAGGTATCCAAGAAATCCTGGTAACATTGGTGTTCTTGTTAATGTTCATTTCTTAGATCTGTTTATGAACAGTCATTTGCTTGTATTTAGACTAAACCTTACCTCTGAGGCTGCGTTTACACCTGAGCATCATGTTTTTGCGTATGTTTTGTTCATGTTTGGGCTTCAGGTGTTTTTGTATTTGCCTATAGAAAACAGTATCATCTGGGAAATCACTTGTTGCTGTGTCGAGATATCGGCTAATGCATGTACCAATGCGGTTCTGTGGAACCTAAAATGCATCAATCTGCTCGAATCGATCGACAAAAGTAGCTCCAAAACTTTTTTGAGCATCAGGCGTTGGGCTTCATGTGTTCTGGAGTGGGAGATGTAAACCACCGCCATTGAAGCACGTTGACTTTTCATTTTTCTTTTTTCCTCGAGCTTTTGGAACGTTTGAGCTACAAAATTTTGAGGTGTGAATGGGACCAGAAGGTAAGGCAAATAAGCGATGTACTTGGCCTTATTGTAATTGTCTGGAGAGATAAAGTTTAATACTTGGAAGAAATGCTCGTGTTTTTTTTTTTTTTCTTTGTAACTTTGCTCAAGATGAATGATGATCATCGATGGGTTCATACAACTGAACTGAAAGCAGAATAAGTGTGGATTCACACATGTGCGTTGAGAATTGAAGCTCTGTTTTCACAGCTAATTGACAAAGTAGTTGTTCAGCATTTCAGATCAGGTTTACATCGGGTCAGGAATTTATCCTGTTCTCAAATGAATGACATGCGGTTCAGAAGAGTTCCCATAGAAGTCAATGGGTCTGAGTTTGCACCTGAGCTGGACTGTGGTGCTCAGAAAACTAACAGGACTAAATCCGCACCCTGGCTGCACTGGACATATGTGAACACGCACAATAGAAAGCAAACTTCTTTCACATGTTATGAGAATTGGATACGGATCAAAACGCATCCGGTTCACTTACACTGCATCTGAGTATCACAAACAAAGGCTAATTCATTCATTTGTAGGATTGAAAGCAAACTCACTCATTCATCCATGCCTCCAATGCTTTATTTAGCTGAGATATCACTTTGAAAAACACATTCTAGAATATCTGACTGTCGCTATCTTGAGAAAGGGCAGATGATTCATGTAGCATTTATTTCCTGGATTCCAACTGCCCTTAGTTTAGGTTTGCAGGCAGGAGGGTGTGTTTAGCTGAGAAAAACCCTCCTCAAGACTCATGGGATGTATGATGTAATTTTGCTTAGGCTTGGAAAACAGGAAGTAACTGAAGAAATGTGGAAAAAAACACTTAAAAAAAAAAAAAGTAAATATCTACTTTCCTGTTTACTAATGCTAGCAGCATAAGGGTTAAAGTGATACTAAACACACGCTGTTTAATTTACTTTATCACTTCTCTTTCTGTATATGGATGATGGAACTGTAATTATTTTAATTAAAAAATAAAAATTTAAGTACCTTTTTTCCTAATCCGTTTACAGCTTTCACATGACCCAGCTCTTTCCCAGCCTGTCTGCAGGGAAACAGTGGCAGGAGGAGCCTCTAGCCCACTGCTGGTCACATGTTCAAAATTAAAAAAAAAAAAGTAAAATCCATAAACTGTTTTAAATTGTCATACAAATATATATTTGAAATCAAATCTTTATTTGTTGGCAATAACATGGTGTGGGCCAATTTCTGCCATTTACAGGCTGTGTCACACCCTTCCAAACTGTGTCTTAGAATATCAGCGAGGTGAAGCCTCCATCAATCAACATGTAACATCCCACTCCCATTGTGTTTAGCTGGTTAGTGGGCATGGAGGAGGAGAGTGAGTTGGCTGTCATTTACCACTCTATATGGCCACGTGTGCCTCCATAGTCATGTGGGCTGCTCAGATGTGATAGGGAGGTAATGCTCAGCATAGAAATGCGCTGAAAACTGACTGTGTTCACCATCTACCAACACTGCTGTGTAAAAATTCACAACTGCAGTGGGCACATGGCTAGAATAGGGAGATAGAGAACAGCAGGATCAACTAGGCTTTTTTTTTTTTTTTTTTTTGCAGAATACAGAAAAATCCCATAGTGACTGAGTATGAACAGCATGTAATACAGCCAGGGCTGCCGACAGGGGGGTACCACTGGTACTCCTGTCAGGGGCCTGAGCACACGGGGGCCTGGAGAGCAGGGGGAACAGATGCAGGCAGGACAGGGAGGATGATCTGTGCAGCAGAGGGGGGGAGAATACAGGAACGATGCTCTGTCTATCCTTACAGCAGCTAAAAGCTGGCAGGAGGTAGAAAGGGAGAAGCCAGATATTAAAGAATACGTTACGTTACATATTAAAGTGTTACTAAACCCAAGACCCTGCATTCGCTATATCTGGTCTCCCACAGAACATGGAAATGCAATTATTTTAGTAAATATAAACTGCTAAATACCGTTTTATCAGCAGTTAGATAACCGTCTTGTGACTTCTATCAGTGTCCAGCTGAGCACTGGTTAAAGCTGTCCTCTAAGGTTGCATAACCCCTGACCCTCTGTCTAGACAGCACTGATTGACCCTGTGCTGATCACATGCACTCTCCCAAAGGAAAGAAAAAAACTAGCAATACACACTAAACTGAGCATGTGCAGAGTGACTCCTAGAGCTATGTGCTATCAGCAGATGGATTGGGGACAGTAGAAGAAGGGGGAGGATCAGAGAAGAGAGGATCAAACAGCCTTTTTACATAAGATTAACCCCTTAGGTTGCACAGTAAGTATAACAGGCATGCTTTACTGCATATACAGACTGATTTTACTGATGTGGGTTTAGTTAGTCCGAACTTTTTTTTTTTTTGGAGGCTTGTATCCGATTATTCGACCAACTAATCAATTAACAAAATAATCGTTAGTTGCAGCCCTAGTTCACAGCTGAAGAAGAGGAAGTCCTGTGCTCAGACTCCTTTGGTGATGTCCGCTTGAGTGCCAATCCGGTCGGAGCAGAGGATCCCAGCGGCTGTTTCTTCCTTCCAGCTGAGTGTATGGCAGCAATCTAGAGGCTGTCCACTGATCCTCTTCTCCTCCCTGGAGTCTTGGGTTGGAGCCCCAGCACAGACTTATCTGCCTCACTGCAATGCTCTGCTCATGCTCTTGATTGTGAGTAGAACAATTGGAGTTTTAATAAGGGTTTTTTTTAACCTTTTAGGCTGCTTTCAGTTGAACGGAACGATCGGGTCTGCCTGTCCATTTTCCAGGCAGACCCAATCGGACCCTTCATTGACTACTATGGGTGGCAAAATGTAATTGGACCCCCTCTCTGTTTACACCCACCTGCATCTGATCCGATACGTTAAAAACAGATGGATGGGAGATCCATTCTCTTTCTGTCTAGCAGATTGGATCAGATTACAGTTGGGTGTAAACACAGTCCATTTACATCCGAATGCCCATAAAGGAGAGCGGGCTGGTCTGTATCCGCACTGCTTAAGCGGAGCAGACGTGAACCTTTCATCCTCCTGCTCAGCGGGGATCAACGGACAGATGGACAGAGTCCGCCCATGTGAAAGGAGCTTTATACAGCACTATGGGCTTGCGTGGTGTCCCCCCCCCACCCCCTTTGTGTTTTGACATAGATGGAGCGTCCCCTAAATATTTGGATCAGCAGCATACCTTCCAGTGCTAGTTATCCATGTTTAGCAAATGATCTTTGAGCTTCAGCATTGCTGATTATTATAGTACTTGGAGATTTCTTCTTTATATAGCACTAGCAGGGATATATCCTATTGGAGTGAGCGCAAAGGTTGCAACTAACAATTATTTTCATAATCGATTAGTTGGTCAATTATTTTGATTAGTCTTTTAGTTGAATAAAAACCTCAAAGTTTGTGTAATTTTAGTTAATATGCAAAAAACAATTTATTCTTGAATATCTACAGTATATGCAGTGGTAAATATACAGGTGAAACTTGAAAAATTTGAATATCGTGCAAAAGTTAATTTATTTCAGTAATGCAACTTAAAAGGTGAAACTAATACAGTGGGGCAAAAAAGTATTTAGTCAGCCACCAATTGTGCAAGTTCTCCCACTTAAAAAGATGAGAGAGGCCTGTAATTGGCATCATAGGTAGACCTCAACTATGAGAGACAAAATGAGAAAAAAAATCCAGACAATCACATTGGCTGATTTGGAAAGCATTTATTTGCAAATTATGGTGGAAAATAAGTATTTGGTCACCTACAAACAAGCAAGATTTCTGGCTCTCACAGACCTGTACCTTCTTCTTTAGGGGGCTCCTCTGTCGTGCACTCATTACCTGTATCAATGGCACCTGTTTGAACTTATCAGTATAAAAGACACCTGTCCACAACCTCAAACAGTCACACTCCAAACTCCACTATGGTGAAGACCAAAGAGCTGTCGAAGGACACCAGAAACAAAATTGTAGACCTGCACCAGGCTGGGAAGACTGAATCTGCAATAGGCAAGCAGCTTGGTGTGAACAAATCAACTGTGGGAGCAATAATTAGAAAATGGAAGACATACAAGACCACTGATAATCTCCCTCAATCTGAACTCCACGCAAGATCTCACCCCGTGGGGTCAAAATGATCACAAGAACGGTGAGCAAATATCCCAGGACCACACGGGGGGACCTAGTGAATGACTTGCAGCGAGCTGGGACCAACTTAACAAAGGCTACCATCAGTAACACACTATGCCGCCAGGGACTCAGATCCTGCAGTGCCAGACGTACCCCCCTGCTTAAGCCAGTACATGTCCGGGCTCGTCTGAAGTTTGCTAGAGAGCATTTGGATGATCCAGAAGAGGATTGGGAGAATGTCAGATGAAACCAAAATAGAACTGTTT